CTCTGCATTTCGTGACCTATCCACAACCACGGAAGTTTTGGAGGCATCTACTGTTTTTCCCGTGTCGGATACCTTTTTTTCTTCTCCCAGCTTTTCTTCTCTTTTTTCATCTTCTCTCCCGGGTCAATCTTGTCCTCCAAATATCGCCTTATTTTGCGAGCTTCTTTCCCGTGCCACTGCCGCTCTTGGTAGTCAGGTGATGTTTTTTTTCTTGATGTATTGTTTTAGCTTCGCTTGCGGCACTTTTCACTGCGCCGTTATCGTTCTTCACCCTACACTTCCTGGATTTTGGTTTTTTTTATCATCACTGATGTTTTGTTTTGGCTTCTACTTTTGTGTGATTACTGGTGATCTGCTTATTTTTTCTTGTTCTTTTATAATTTTATTGTTTGGCTGTTTTCTATTCCATAATTTTAATGTCTGTTTGATTCTCTTTATTTGGCTTTTTACTGCTTTTTTTCTTAAGCATTTCATTACGCCTTAGGTTACCATTCCCGATGAAGACAAGTCACTTACGACTTCACCTGAGCCCGAAATAGCACCACCAACAGCGGAAGTGTCGGATATCGATACAATACCAAATACTATCACTTCTGTTTCCCCTCCGTTAACCGTGGTAGAGTTCACCACTACAACGCCAAAAAAAGTGGATTTTAGTCACTTTGTCCCAATAGTGGATCTCTCGAATATGATCGTCCGAGTGTTGAATACCAAGGAAAATCGAGTTGTTCCCGAAGTTCGAATAGAAAGGGGTTATTTATCATTTGAAAATGGGACCTCTATTTTTGTTCGAGATGTTCCAGGTTTTCTCCCTCCTGAAGAGGCCATGTCTGACGCGACTATCTCTGTTGATTTAGTAAAGGGAACGACTACTCTACTTAATTTGACAACTTCTATCCCAATAATGTCTCGAAGTTCTTCGGAAGGAATTCCTTTAGAGACAATTCAGAAATATGGTGCAGGTGCGGTCTTTGAAATGCTTCTTGACAACGCTATCATCCATGTGGACTCGTATCAAGGTGATTGGACAGTGCAAACTACAGAATCCTTTGAAAGTAGTTTAGTTCAGGAGGTTAGAGACGGTGTGCTCTACTTAGCTAATGGCGAACAAGTAAAAATGCCCACTACGGAATCTAAAGACCAGGTGTTTGCAATCGAGGCAGTGACTGGGGTTGTTCGAACCGTGAATAAGGAGACTGGTGAATGTTTTGCAAGTTTTCAGCCAGACAGTTCTGTAACAATTCCACCGAAAGAAGAACAGACTTCTAAAGCTGAAGAAAAGAAGGAAGAATTGACTTCACCTTTTCCGTTAAAGGAAGAAACAGCACCCTCTACAGGTACCTCAACTTCTCCGGAGGAAGAGGAGGGATCGTTCACAGTGACCTCACTTTCTCTTTTTGAGGAAGAAGAAGCATTGTCTAAGGTGACTTCATCTCCTCATTCGGAGAAAGAGGAGGAACTGTCTACGGTGACTTCATCCCCTCCTTC